CTCCCGGAATACCGCTGCTTGTCTTTTCAAGGTTATATTAACTCATAGTTAGCAATCACGGTGTTTAATCTCCTGCTTCATTCTTATCATGTGGTTCTCATTTATTTATTTTAGAAACATTGCAGGCAAATGACCTACTAACCCATGAAAGCATGTTCCTTCGACTGAGTTTTACAGTATTTTATTTTACAGTATGATATTTTCCATCGAGATCATCTGAGACTCTGTATCAGAAGTGACTTTTCTGTCTTCACAGAGTATATAGCACGACGAATGGACTTGAACATCACTTCAGTGAGGAATGCCATAACATAGTCACCTTGTCTCAGCTTGTAGTAAAGATCTGATCTTCTTTGAAATAAAAACGCACCATGTCTAACCTTTAAGATAAGGATATTAATCGGCGATGATTTTCTGTAAAGACATGAGTAAATTGTTCATTCAGTGGTTTCCCCTGCCCCTGCTTACTGACTTTCATATTGATGAGAATCCTTCGCCATATTCTGGATGAAAGTATATTCTATTGCATTTTGGCCTTGAAGTCATGTTAAATTATATTTGGTGACTAATAAACTCTTTTATCATAGGCAATGATAATCACGGACAGTTCAGACAATTCACTTCAGCTGCCCGGATCCGGAACAGATGGCGTGAAACTTTTATCTGTTCTGAGCAACATAAGGGAACCCGGACAATGGATATTCAGGGTCGATAAGGAGAAAGTCGAATACTGTGCGGAGGAAAGCCTTCGTCCACCTTACTGTGAGCATTCTGATCACCAAGGTAATGTTATATTATGTCTTTCGACTTAGCCATTGCAGGATCAGTTTCCATTTGTGATTACAAGCACTGTCAGATAGGTCCAGAAGCTGACTAACTGCCATGAGAGTTGGACGACTATTTCATGCAATTCGATAATGCAAATAATCTTTTGTACAGAGAAACCAGACAGTTTACAGTTAGACAATAAACTCTGTCTGAATCATAGATAATCAGTTTCCATAACCGCTTACTTTCTGGGTCACTGAGGCACACGCATCACACAGTGTCTACAACGTTCCCAATTCTATGCCAGTGTTGGAGCTTCGGTGGAAGATAACCCGCATCTGGAGCAGAATCATTCCATCCACTTGCCGCAGGCATTTCTTGGCCTTCCCTGAGGACTTCGACCAGTTGATTCGGCAAGTAATGGCCGTTTTCACTTCCTTTCTGAAAGCGTTAGCAAGACGTGCCCAGACTTCTCGATCTGGAGTAGCAGTTGATATATAGCTCTGGTCACTGTTTCTGAAATCTGAGTTCAGTACTGCGTGATTCAAACGATTTGCATCAGAAAGCTCGTTTCAGCCAAGATCGAAGGTTTCCACCAATGGTGCGCGACTCATGACGAACAAACCATTTCAAATAGATCATATGATGCACAAAGCATTGTCTTGGCAGCATAGCCAATGCGAGATGCATTTCAAAAGTAGGTGTGGCTGGGAAATAGCCAGTTCATCACCAGTCAAGTTTCAGGAGCAGTGCTCATTTTATGCCTTCGACAAACAGCTGAATATATAAGTTTTACATAAGTACGTTGGAATATGTCACGAAATGCAAACCTAAATTGAAACCGGATTTAACGGTTTATCATACTGCTTAGTTGCTCATAGATTTTTTAGTGGGAGGGAAAGAAGGCAGTGATATTGAATATCTGCAGTATACTGCATTCTTTTCAGTTGTAAAACCTTTCTAACTCAATTAAAAGTGGAACTCTTTGGCGATCCCATTCACGCATCCGCAATCAGAATACTTTCACCTATTCGCATAATCATCCATTTATTCAGCATTTCATGCACCTCATGCTATTTTACTGGCTGGAACACTACCTTTCTCATCGAACTCATGTGAATGGGG